GTGCCCTCCCAGGACCTTGCATTTTGGATAATACCATCCCACACCCAGCACATTCTTACTTTCATTTAGTATTATGTGCAGAGGCTACTCTTTCTTCCTGAGGTGCTCAGGAGCAACTGCAATGGGTGATAGGGAATGGAGTTCCTTCCCCCAAGCAACTTTTGAACACCTGGAATAGAAATACAGAAGAGGGGTGGCAATGTAAACACATTGACAGAGACATGTACACCCCCAGAGGACTTAATAGAGCTCAGCTATATTGTGATGAAGAAGTCCCAAACAAATGTTGCTATTTTCGGAAATAACCTACATGATTGATAGGTTGGCTTCAAATAACATGTCAGATTTAGACAGAAACTCTTGTGATCCAACATAAGAGAAAATGTGTTCTGCATTAGTGTTGTCAAAATCCAAGTTCTGAGGATTTTCCTCCCACTGTTTGAAGGCTTCTAAATGTCATTGAATGTAATGCTAAGAATCAAAGCACATTCACACACATGTAAGAAAAACGTACAATTGTGTTGCAACAATGTATGCCGTGGATGCAAATTATGTTCACAACTTCTATATAAAATTCCCGAGGATGCTCTCGTATTAGGATATTTTTGTGAATATGTACATATTGGTGCAAGGGACCTAAAAACCCTAAAGGTGCCAGCTCTTGCCTGATGCTAAGAGATTTATCCCAAGTTAATATTTGGATGGGAGATTGCAAATGCATACCATGTGCTATAGCCTATCTTTCAAAAGAAAGAACTGGCAAAACCACCTCAAAGTATTTGTTTCCCAAGTAAACCCTTTGAAATTCATGGGGCTGGCATAAGTTGACAGGCAACCTGAAGGCACATGTACACACACATACACATTAGTGCCAGAAAATAGCAGAGTAAACAAGGGTGCACAAACAGATCCATGTTCAGAGACAACATGCTTCTATACACCAAGAATGGGGGGACAACAACTGGAGAGGGTTATTGCTCTCATGTTCTGTTTGTGAGGCTTTCTAACGAGCCTTCCAACACCTGGTTGACCACACAACTGAAGGGGCTATTACCCCACCATGTTTTGTAAGGCTTCCTAGAAGTATTTGGGTGGTCCCTACAGTACACAGGAGAGTGAATAAGATAGGTCATTGTTCTGAGTCATCAGAGCTCTTCTTTTATGTCAGAGATGGACAATATCAGAGGTTGTGGGTAGTATTCTCTGTTCATACTTGGACCCCACTCCATCTTCTGTAGATCCTCCTGTCAATGCCACTTGCAGATTTCTGGGGAAAATGGCATTTTGACTAAAACAAGGTGTCTGTGTATGTGGGGGGAGGAGGCACCGTGCTTTAGAAGAGAACCTTGCCATCCAGAAACTTCTTAAGACATGATTGTCCCATTTTTCAATTTACATAATGTGTTTAATATAGTACACAAGAGCCTAAATATTATTTTAATCTTGAATAAAGGCGACCCATTAAATCAGTGAAATTTACCTATGTGTGAACTCAGCATTCAACAATTAATTCTTGTGCTGACCGAATGGTCAAAATAAAGAAATTTAATTTAACAATTAATTCAGACGATCTCCTCTAATTGTGACTAACCAACAGGATCTTGGTCACAGTCTGTTATAATTTGTTATGCTTGTAAGGTACATTCCACTAAGGCCTAAGCAGACTGCCAGAAATAGTGCACATTAAATTGAGGCACTGCCCTGGCTCAGTGCTAGGGAGTCATGGGAATTGTATTTTTTTCTGGGACATTGAGCCTTCTCTGTCAGAGAGCTCTGGTGCCACAATAAATTACAGTTCCCATGATTCCCTAGCACTGAGCCAGGGCAGTGCCTCAATTTAATGTGCACTATTTCTGGCAGTCTGCTTAGGCCCTAAAATAAGCTGTTTTATCTTTAACACTGATGTACATTACTGGTAAGATTTACTGCCAGGTGTGCAACCAGCCTTCTGTTTTCTGGACAGCAATAGTGGTAATGATGTGACTTTAAAACTGAACTACCCTAACTCTTCCTTGTTTAGTTGTTCAGAAATTTTGTGTCATGGTCTTCTGCCAAGTTGCCTTTCATCAGTTTTATATTCAAAGTCTTTTTCTTCTTTGGATCCCCTGGTTACTCTGTGTCAATTTGCTCTTTTGGGTTTGCTTTCTACCTTATTTAACTTTGAAGTTATTTCTTTGATTTCCTTCCTCTGGGGAAGAAATTTTACGTGTGATCATATCCCTATCAATTAGAATTTTAAACATCTCATTCACTAGATCTTTTCATCCCCCTTGACAACAAAGGCTGCTAGAGCTCTAGGAGCACAAGGTTTAAGAAGTTCCTCCTCAGGGCTAGAAGATTTCAAAGTGGATAATGTAAAATTTCTAGAGCAAAGATCTTTGCCCTGTTGCTTACAATTTTAACCTTTAGGAAGCCTTTCTTCCAAAGAGGAGCCTGTCATACACATACTTACCCCTTCAAGAAGGATCGATTATTTCTGATGTGCAGCTCTAAAATGATCTGAATTGTATTTTTGTAGATTACATTTGTATCTTGACTTTCTGCTAAGAATCCCAAGGTATGGGACAGATGAGAACTTCCTGACAGAGGCAGCATCTGCACTGCAGAAATGATGCAGTTTGACACTGCTTTAACTGCCATGACCTAATGCTATGGAATCCTGGGATTTGTGTTTGTTGTGGTAACAGAGCTCTCTGAAAAAGAAGATTAAATGTTTCACAAAATTATAAATCCCAGAATTCCATAGCATTGAGCTATGGCAATTAAAATGGTGTCAAACTGCATTAAGTCTGCAGTGAAGATGCAACCAGAGCTGTTCATCTGTGCAATTAACTCCTTTGCAATTGGACCCCTCTTTTTGGTGGTCTTTAAAAGAATTTGGCCATCTTTTAGTTCTGAAATCATGCATGGCAGGGGGTTGGACTTATGGTCCTTTTGAACTCTATGATTTGTACACTACCCTTGTGAAGCATAAATGCACCAACAGTGTAATTATGCCATGTTTTTCTGCTAGCTGAGTAGAACTTCTCTTGTCCATATGAAAGTACGCTCTCATGGCCACACACCCTATGCAGTGTCTGGTTGCTGTTTTGTGCTTGGGAAAGACAGACAACATCAACCTCCTAGATCTCTAGTGAAAACACATAATTACATGGGCATCTGGAAGGATAGTGTCTTCTCTTTTCATTGACTGTGGGATCATGTGCTAGGGACAATGTTTGAGCACTGGTGGGAGAGAGATTGCGAATACCTCCTTGAGCAATGATATTAATCTCAGGTGCATTAAGAGGTTACACCTGCATATATTACAAACAGGATCTCAGGCTATGATAGCATCTGAGGGTATTTCATATTGTTATCATTTGCCTTCAAGTTATTTCTGATTCTAAGGTGAAATATATTCTCAGCAAAATATGGTAAGAGGGGGATTATTATTGCTCTCCTCTGAGACTAAGAAATAGACTGCTAGAAATAGTGCAAATTGAGTCCACTTTAAAGGTTAGGGTTAGGGTTAGGGAATCATGGGAACTGTATTTTATTGTGGCACCAGAGCTCTCTGACAGAGAAGGCTCAATGTCTCAGAAAAAAACCAACAATTCCCATGATTCCCTAGCACTAACCCTAACCCTTAAAGTGGACTCAATTTGCACTATTTCTGGCAGTCTGCAAAGGCCCTAAGAGAATGTGACTTGCTCAGTTTCACCCAGTGGATTTCCATGGCTGAGCATGGATTCAAACCTCTGTTTCTCTGACCACTGAAACCGCTACACCACGCTGACTCTCAGGCATTTCATAGGAAACATTATTTATATTTCCCCCACGCTGTACAGGTCTATTAATAATTTGCTTGCTATGCCATGATCCTTTAATACAAGTATGGCTGCAGATATGAGTTCTTTATTGCCTTCTTACTGCGACTTTAAATAATTTGACTTTGCATATAGTATATTTGAATGACAGTGGGACAAAATCCATCAGGGGCATTTTATGAGCAGCCATGTTTAGTTCTTGGAGTACTGTTCCAAAAAGTTCAGTTTAAAGTTAGATTACGTTATTGCTTTGTCATACTCTAATGGTGCTGTATCCTAAAACTGCTTGGAAACTGCAGCTGGTACAGAATGGAGCTGGTAGACTTCTTCCCTGGGGTAGTTGCAGGAAGTCCTTTGCAACATCTGCTCAGTCCATTTTCTCTTTTGGGATTCAGTCTGATGTGTAATGAGACCTGAACCATGGAGCCTTCCAGTATCAAATTCTCTGATCTTGTCTAAATTCCCGCTTCCACCACACCTTCAACATAACTCTTTTCTCTTCCAAAGTCAGAGATCTGACATAGGTGGAGGAGGAGACACTGAAGAAAGCTTCGTTGTGGCAGGATAGGTCCAAGAGACAGAATCTAGTCATGTATCCACATTGCAGAATTAAAGCAATTTAATGCCACTTTTAATGCCATTATTATGTCCTATAGAATCCTGGGATTTGTAATTTGGGAAGGTATTCACCGTGGTCTGTCAACATGCTCTGGTGCCTCAGAAAACTACAAATCCCAGGATTATGAAGGATAGAGTCATGGCAGTTAAAGTGGAGTCAAATGTAACTGCTTCAATGTTTGCAGTGTAGACATACCCTAGGACTGGATCTCCCTCATTAAAGTCAGAGTTTAATCTTGCAAGGAGTATTACCACTAAGTACTAATGAGTCTTTGCCTTCTGTTGTATGATGCAGACTAGAATGTATCATGTAAATGTAGTTGTTAGTCTCAACTACCAACAGCCTATTTAATCACTGAGAACTTGGTAAAGTCAAAACTTTTTTCCATTCATTTAACAGACCTACAGTAGTAGTAGTAGTTGTGTGCCTTCAAGTCATTACCGATTCATGGTGACCCTAAGGTGAACCTGTTGTGGGGTTTTCTTGGCAAGATTTGGTCATAGGAGGTTTACCATTGCCTTCCCTTGAGACTGAGAGCATGTGACTTGCCCAAGGACACCCAGCTGGTTTCATAGCAGAGCTGGGAATCGAGCCCTGGTCTCCAGAGTCTCAGTCCAGTACTCAAACCACTATGTTACACTGGCTACAATTTTATTTTGTTTTTTTAAAAACAAACTTTTGTTATAATCAAACAGGTTTTTGGAGTATTTTGTTTCTAAGCTGATGTGAGCTGCCTTGAGTCCCATACCAAGAGAATGGTGGGATATTAAGTAAGTAAGTAAGTAAGTAAGAAAAAAAGTAAATGGGGTCCTATGCCAGGAGAATAGCAGAAAATAAATAAAGTAAAATAAAATAAAATAAAATAAAAGTCTAAGTCAAAGCTCACTGAGATCACCTGTTACATGTTGTTTGCATTTCCACTCAAAGTAAATTGGTGGGAATATCCAAGAACATTTTCTCAGCTATGTCAACCACTTTGTGAAATTCACTACCATCATGCTACTTTTTAATGTTTTAAAAGAGAAGAGAGGGCTAACTGACTCATAAACTCACAAGTAGTCCCAGTCCAGTCCAGCCTCTTTGCATGCCCCTTTCTTCCACCAGTAGAGTCCAGTGGGAGAGGAAATCCCTTTATTATTCCTGATACTAGACATGGGTAATAGTTTGGGGACACCACCACCCTGCCTCACTCATCCTTCCACAGTGGGATCAGGAGGAATTCTTGCTATTATTTCAAATCTGGAATAGTGGGATTTTCACCCATCTTTCTTTCTCCACAATAAAGAAAGCACAGAGCAGGCAATGCTTCTGAGATTCAAGCACAGGCTTCAGGAATGAGCAATTAATCCTCTTTGTTAGCAGGTTGATCCAGCAGTATTCCTCTTTAAAAAGTCTACCTTATTTCTAGGTTGGATATCTTCTGTGGGGCAAAGTTCTCAAAGGCACAATTTTGCTAGCTGGCCTGAGTGATTCTTTCAGAAAGGAAAGTAAGAGGCTCAAACATGCAACACAGGTGTATTTCAAGTCAGGAAACAGAATAATCTCGTGTAATAAAACATGGGCTGTCTTGTGCTCTTAGACAACATCCAGTTAACAACTTTGGCTCAAGACCATATGTCAGTTTTTTTAAGCCTGAAGCCAATCTTTCATAAAGTCAAAATTCAAATCCTCAAAGAAAGGATTTATAATGAATACATTGACACACCCCTCCAGCACAACGTTGCCAGTGCAAGCTGTTGCTTAAGAAAAAAAAAAACAGCTGTGTATGGGATAGTGTGTGTTAATTACTCTTAAGCCTGTTAGTATATTAAGCCTGGCAAAGCACTGAAAATTCTTGGCTTTTTGTAAGAAAATAATGCTGTTTCAGGGTGCTCTCTCTTTCTCTCTTATTTTTAAAGGGAGGGGGGAGGAAAAGAAATCAAACAGAGAAAAGATTAGACACTATAATGTTTTCATGGTTTAAAATCCCTTTGCAAGAAACAACCTAATTAAATTTCTGACATCATCAGTTTTGTTAGTAAATAGTAACCATGGATGCAAAGAAGACTTGCATCTCATTACATCCTGCATAGGGTTTCAGGGCTAGAAGCAATAGGTCTGCATGGAAGGCTAAGAACAAAAGAGACAGGATGGAGCACAGATTTATCTCACTCAGCCAAATATGGTCCCATTAAGGATGTCTAAAATTTGAGTTCAGTTCTGGGTAATATGTTTCATTAGCTACAGTGACTACAATATTGGGAAATGCAGCCAAGAAACAATAGTAGCACAATGCCTAGAAGTATTATATCAAGAAATGTGCCATTTTGTATATTGCATAGTACCTAAATAGTAGTGTCTCCTTCAGGCTTAAACTCAAATCCAGTTATTAGTCCCAGCCACAGTAGAGCAAGTGAAGCAGTACGATATAGGTAAGTGTGGCCTAATTATTATCTACCTTCAAGTTGACTCCAACTTATGGTGACCCTATCCTAGAGTTTTCTTGGCAGGATTTATTCAGAGTGGGGTTGCCATAGCCTTCCTTTATGACTGGCTGTCAGTGTGGTCTTACTGAGGAAGTGATTCAGTGGATCTACTCTGTTTGGCATTAGCGAGTGGATTTATGTCTTGGTGTGAAGTATGAATCCACAACTAACCACCAGTCTCTTACACACCCATATATAAACACATACTTCCAAATACCAGTAACAACCCAAATGAGCTAGGTGTCATGTACCATACACCTGTTGGGAAATATGAAAAAACACCTTTCTGTATCTATTTGGTTAACTCCTCAGTGCAAGACAGGACTACTGAAATGTAGATTAGCATGCAAGTGGCAAATGCAAAAAGATGAGAAACAGAATCCCTTGCATTTGTCAAGGCAATGCCTCAGGCTAGCCTTTGCCATTCACTCATTCCTGCTAGTTTGCTCCCATTGTATCTGACTCATATGAAATAATATCAGTGTTAACTCCTGTATTATTTCATCCCTAGTTAAAATGTGAAAAAGCTAAGTAACAGGGGTTGCAGACTGTCAGAAATAGTGCAAATTCAGTCCACTTTTAGGGTTAGGGTTAGAGCTAGGGAATCATGGGAGTTGTTTTTTTTCTGAGACATTGAGCCTTCTCTGTCAGAGAGCTCTAGTGCCACAATAAACTACAGTTCCCATGATTCCCTAACCCTAACCCTAACCCTAAAAGTGGACTGAATTTGCACTTTTTCTGGCAGTCTGCAACCCCCCTATGTCTTGAAAGGAAATATCAAAATAGAATAAATACAGCCAATGAAACATAAACACCTTCATCTACCAGGTTTGCATGCTCTCCCTGGAATCATTGGCAGTTGTGCTGTTAGGTAACTTCAGACCCTGATTTTCATGGTCTTAACTTCTTTTGATGGTAATATGTGTTATTTGGCTTGCTGCCAAATGTGGGTTCATTTGAATGTGTCACAATGGGGAAAAACATGTTGAAATGTAGAGCTGGTCAGCCTAGTTACATAGAAAAGAGTGGATAGAAACTCATTTCGAAAGGGGTGGGGGCAGGGAGATAAGGAATGTAGACTATCAGTCCCATAAACCTGTGCTGTTTTCACATGAGTTGTACAGTTCCATGCTTAATCCCATGGAAAGGTTGTTGTCATGGGTATTCCATTATGGTAACTGATTGGGGACTATTATAGCCCTCTTTCTTTTATGTCTTCGCAGTTGTATCCTGGTCAGACTTCAGGAAAGTTACTGCCTTGGCTGCAACACCCAGAATCCACCTGTCATGTTGGCAGGGTTTCTGGGAAGTAGAATTCCCCCCCCCCCAAAAAAAAAGAAAAAAGAAAAAAAATAGTAACTTTCCCCTGCTTTGCTCCTGGCAGTCTTTTTGGACTGATTACTGTTCCTCATGAGCACTACTATGTAATTTAAAGAAAGAAAAGTAATAAAACAAAACAAAAGGAAAAGAAAAAAAAAACCTTGCAAAACAGGCCCAGGTATTTAAAATTTCATTAGAGCACTGAGGAATTACAGAGACACAATTTCTTCTATGTTATAAAAATGTGGACTATTGAAATAGAATAAACATGTTTTGTACTATATGGGCACAAAACAAACATAAAAACTCATATCAGATATATAAGCAATTACTAGTACGATTAATAGAAAGAATTTATAAAATGAAAAGAAAATAACATCTACAACCAATGAAATATGTATATATTTATATAAAGAATGTCACAAATAAACAATATACACCAAGAAGATAAATGTGCATGAAATATAAACTATACTAAAAAGGCAACATAGCATGTACAGAACACTCACTTAACAAACTAAGGGGCGAAACAGACCACCCCAAAGCGGCAGCTTGACGCTGCCCCTTTGATCACCAGATTGGGGGCACGGCAACCACACACTGCAGCTGTGATCTGGCATTTTTGCAGCCCAAAAAATAGCAGCAAAATGGTGCTCTTTTTGGGGGTGGGGGAAAAAGGCACCCTTTGCACCACTGCAGTGGTTTTTCTCTGCTCCTGTGGTGTGCGGCACCTAAATGCTGTGCCACAGGAGTGCTGCAATGCTGCCTGCCATCTGGTCAGGTGGGCAGTGTGACACCAGCTTGAGGGTAGCGTTGGACCATGCATCATCTGAAGGCGACACCCCCACGGCGCTCCCAAACCAGCATTTTGTGCTAGTCTGTTTAGCCCCTAACTTAATAAATTTAAATGAATACCAAATCCAAAGGGGAATTACTGTATATTTGTTTTGCTTGAGTGGTAGAGAGTGCTATGTGTGGCTTCATCTATTCTGAGTTGATTTTTAATGTAATGCACTATTTTTTTTTGATAATATTATATACATGTTGACTTTTTAGTGTAGCTTATGTTTCACATATGTTTATCTTCTTGCTGTATATTTTGTATTTGTGACATTCTTTATATCTGTTTTCATTGTATTGGTTGAAGATACTCTTTTCATTTCATTTCATCACTACATTCTATTACATCCTACTATTCATGTTTTCAGATTGTTTACGTATCTGATATGGGTTATTTATTTTGTGCATCTTAGACTGACCCTCTTCCCTTTTGTTTTGTTTTTGTGATTTCTTGCTGTATGCCTTCTAGTCATTTCTTACTTAAGGTGATCCTAAGGCAAATCTGTCCCAGGGTTTTCTTGGCAAGATTTGTTCAAATGGGTTTGCCTCTGAGGATTTCAGTGGCAGAGTGGGAATTAAAATCTTGGTCTCCAGAGTCTTATTCCAACCAGCTGAACCCACTTCATCATGATGGTGCTCATACCATGGTTATATATTCCTGCAAGATTCCATTACACTACTGGTGATGGTAATGCAGGAGGAGGAAGATATTCTGCTCTTACAGAGGTCTCCTATTCAGAACACTGCTCAGGTCCACTACATAGTGACATCTACTATTCCCAGATCGTTCCCTGGGCTCCTCATGCTACCACTCTTATACATATCTTAAGGAAAATAAAAGTTGACACATTTATCATTAACACACTGATGTGGGTTGTTTGTGTGTGAGAGAGGGAGCATAATATTTGGTATTGGATGAAATAACTATTGATAAAAGAAACAGGAAAGTATGTGGACTATGTTGTGGGTTGTTTTCCCTTGATTGCATGGCAACATAGAAAACCTTTATTACACAATAT